GCTTCTCAGTGCTGTGCTTTAACCCACTGCGCCACCAGGGAAGGCCTACATTTACTTTTATTGATTACCATTCACTCTTTCATTAGAGACACTATTACACGATGTAATTCTCAGCCTCAATTTTGCATTTTCTTGAAAGCATTTAGTTGACCCTGCTTGTAATTATCAATGCAAAAATGTTGAGAAGTGTCACTTCATTAAATGATAAACTGAAAAGATCTGGGCTTTAGCTTAGGTGGTGTGCCATACATATTCCCCCCATCCTTTAAAATGCACCAGTCCTACACACCACATGCACCGGTGTGTAAAACTCAGCCTGCTGGAGATGTTCCTGGCTAGAGTGTTTCCAGAACCACCATTTTTCTACTTAGGTCATCTGCTACTGCCTCCTTTCAGTCCCCATGAGCTCAGGCTCCCTCATACTGTCCCCTAACTTTTGGAATCCACCTCCAACACAGCCTCCTGTTCAGAGTCCCTTGTTCTATTAGATCATGGTCCTACTTGTGTATAATAATTATAAAAGAGGTTTGGGCTGAAAACATGGAACATTGGTTGGGTTTCCTATTTCAAATATGAGTAATAATAAATTTGTTTATATTAGCAACTCCTGATAAACTATAGCATATATTTGTATATTAATTGTGGATCTATATGCCTTTGGAAATCTCCTATGATAGAAACTTATATGCATGTGTGTATACTATAGATATTATCCAGTAGGTAAGTGACTATGTAGAGTTTATTGACATCTAAGATTTGACAGATTTGTGAATCTTAGTGGAACTCTTATTTGAAATAATGGAATTGATATTGAACATTTAAACCAGATATGCAGATTGAAATATATAACATGCAGTTACAACATTGTTCTGGATGTCTTCCTGCCTTTCCCCCACTTTCCCAAAGAGAATGTATACACAAATTATGCTGCCTCACAACTGTTGTACCAGAATTCCATCAGGGTCTGATGTTATATAGCAAAGGAAAGCAGAGAACTGCTTCTCAGATTCCCGCTTCTCCTATTTTGACACATACTTTAACACAATTTATGTGGGTTGAGTTTGTTTATGCCTCATCTTGTCCAGAAAAATATAAAATTATGCTGCATATAAACTTCAACACTCCAAGTAAAATAAGCAATAAATAAAGGTGGGGAGGAAAAATAAAAGCAGGAATCATGCCAGAGCCAGAGCCTGCACAACAGTGTGACCTGTATGCTTAGATACTTAGTCTGGGTGGGGGACATATTTGGCTCTGGTTTTCTAACAGCCAACACAGAAAAAGAAACTTGGTCACAATGTCACAAAATAAATACAGTTGTTCAGAATTACTACTTTCTTTTCTTTCTTTCTTTTTTTTTTTTGACATAGAACAGAGATTTTTCTCTAGGGTTTTTGTAGATGATATGATTAATGGTAAGCTGTGTCCAGCAACATTCTTACTGTACATAGTAGAGAGTTTTATGTCTGATTCTTAACAGAGGACTTGAATGTAGGTGATGGCATCAAACCAAAATTCATCTAGTAAAATATTTTGGTGTGGGCTAGTCGTAAAGGCATGAACTTTGAAGGATTGAGATGCTAGCCCATGTGCTAGCTACACGAGTTTGTAGATGCTGGCAGCCGTCTGAGTTGGCGATAAAAGATGGTTTATTACTAACAGTTAACAGCAGTAGCTTGAATATTTTATTTATTCTCGGAGTACCAATCCCACAGGACTATCAAAGAGGTACCAAAGAGGTACAGGTGATACCTGTACATACCACAGATTATTACAAGAGAGGAACCCGGAGTTGAGGGAACTAGAATCTTAGAGAACAGGATGTAAGCACATATTCCCTTTGCCTCAGAGAGAGATGTTACTTTTATTATGTGGGACAGTAAACAAACTTCTGTTTGCCAAGACTGCTTGCTATGCAAACATCTTAGGAAAGATAATCTCAAGCACAACAAACCAATGCCTCTGCTCCTAAGATGTGTAGAAACACGTGGGGATATGGAGAATTGTTTGGCAACAACTAATTCCAGTTCATCAAGCCTTCTTTGGCTTGATACAAAACTAACCTTTAAGTTCTCTGTAGAAACTGATGGATTGTGCTTCATTTGACATTTATTCATCAGATACTCATTGCAGTTTTATCATATTCTAGGCACTGGGGACAATGATAAACAAAACAAATATAGCTCCTGCCTTTACATAGAAAAATACCCAAGTGTTTTTCATGTGTTTTTCCTGTAGTTCCTCCTAAAAATTCTTGAACAAAGATTTTCTGAAAATAGTTTACCTTTTAGAGCAGTTACCAGCTGACAGCAAAATTGGCATAATACCAAGATTCCCCATATATTGCCTGCCCACACAGACAGGGATAGACCATATGCCTTTTGCCTCCCCCAACGCCAACATTCCCTAGGAGAGTGTAGTGTCAGGACTGATGAGTCTTTCCTGCCATTCTTAGCATCCAGAGTACAGACTTTGCATGAAGAATTGCTCTTGGTATTAAGGGTTTGCACCAATGCTTAAAACAAGGTTTCTCCAAAAAATGGTGACAGTTAATATAATTCTAAAATCTCACAAATAGAAGGAATTTTGTATTTCTATATTCCCAGATAAATACAGACACAAATGCTTGAAGAGGCACTTGAAACAGGGTTTTATGTTGGCCTGAGAAAAACTTAACAGATGTGCAAATGACTATACAGCCATCATCTGCAGTGTCACTGGGGGTCAGAGGTAAATTCTTCCTTGAAAATGATCTTAAATCCTTTAGTGATTAAGTACTCAAAGTCCAGAAGTTTTATTCCACATTGCAAGGTACTTGTAGATTTTCTGGAGTACTTGTTTACCTCCTGCTTGGACTGGGATAGATACACTAGAAAACTTTTTGTCCATTAAGAAAGTGAAATACCTCCTTCCTCTGACTTAGTTTATAAGGACACACCTCCTCCTACTCTGGGGACAACTCTGGTAATTTCAGCTCATTGCTACCTAAAGTAACAATCATCTTTTTCCGACAAAATAAAAAAGATTGGCCCTCATTTAATTAGCCTCCAAACAGAGCCAAACTGCAAAATAATGATTGCTAACATAGACTGGACTTCGCTGGTCAGTTCAGCCAGCAGAAGCTGATTGCTGAATTCCATTACTAAATCTCACGCCAGCCCCTGACACTGTTTTGAAGAACCAGTGATATCCCTTCAGTATTTATGCTGTCTCCCCCTGCCCTCAGAAACCCGTCACTTCTTGTGAGTACAGTGGTCTTGCGGCTGCACTTGATGGCAATGACATATAGAGGCAGAGTCATCATGCCAGCTGGAATGAATGTCCAAACTCGGGTTTGAGAGAGCTGCTTATTCAAGTAAAAAATTAGAGCTGAAAAAGACCTGTTAAATAACCCAATCCCTTCCGTAGTGAGTGCCAGAGCATTCCTATGGTGAGAGCTAGATCAGCCAATTCCAAATGACTTTAACAATGTGCCTTCTCATGCTTTATTTGAAAGATGGGGCTGTCTCTTCAATTTTTCTTTTGGTAAGTTTTTTGACTAGAATTTCGTTTGACCAGAGTTATTGCATTTCCCTCTTACTGTTTTGGTTGAACTACAGCAAGGCCATGGAATAAGTTATATTTGAAGGGTCATTACAGATGTTGTACAGATAACATTGGCAGGACTTTATGGGTTGTTTCAGCAATGCCTTGATTTGGGGCAGGTGATGCAGGGGGAGCAGAGATATATTTGGGCTTTAAAGGTAGATGTGCCCTGGTTAGAACCTCAGATCTGCTTCATGGGGGAATTTGCAACTGTCATTACTGTTTTCAGGGGCTGTTATTTACTAAATGTTTCTTGTGTGCAAGACATGCTGCTAAATACTGCCTCAAAATCCATTTAGCAAGTGTGTGAAATTGGTGCTATCTTCTTTATTTTAGAATTTAAGGTTTAGTGATTAAAAGTGGAAGCTCTAAAGTTCAGTTGCCTGATTAAAATGCCAACACTGTTGCTTACAAGCTTTTTGACCTAGGGGTTTTTGCTTAAACTCTCTGGGGAGGTAAAATGGAGGTGATAATCATGCCTGTCTCCTAGGCTATTTTGAGGAATAATAGATCAGATCAGTGCCTAGTATGAAACATATATTTAAATGTAATCAATTTTGATGAGATCTTGATGGAGAAATTTATTCAAGGGCTTAGGTCATACAAAAATTGAAACCCTAGTCACTTCTACCCTGACTTACCTAAATTATTAACCATTAGAAAACATGGGTTTGTTCAGGACAAACTTAGCTTACACAGCTTATTCAGAGTATCAGTTTTTCTCCTTGGTAAAATTGGGATAATGTTGTATCTCCTGTGTAACCATTATGAAGATGAAAATGTAATAAAATAGGTGAAGAGGCTATTATAGGCTGGCCCAGAGCTGGGATTCAATTTTTCATGATTCTTCTCTATCTTACATTCATATCTATGGAAGACAGGTATGTATTTGTGTGTGTACACACTTATTTATAAAAGTTTCTTCTAATACTGGAACTACAGATTGCTTCATAATGTGTTTTATGAGTTTATTCCTATTTAAAAGAATTTGATTCAATTACTGATAATTAAAAACAGTTTACTTTCTAATATAATTTTACTTGATATTTTTAATATTCCAGTAGTTTGAAGTCTATCTTTTCTGGACTTTTAGAAGCAGTTCATCTAGTGATTCAAATTGTCTAAATACTTTTTGTTTCACAGAAACAGACTGGCCATAATTTAATTTTTATGTTACAAAGGGAAGAGGAGACAGTTACAACTTAGCAGAGGGAAATGTGATGAGATGTTTTGCTGTATGCCTTTTTTTTACGGTATGTGTGGGAAAGGGTGTGATGTCATTTTGTCTCCACCCCCTGTGAGTAAGCCCACGGCACAGCTAAGGCAGCCGCCCGCCTCTGTCACTGGGAGACAGTCCACTTAAATGCAGCTCCAGGGTTGCGGGACACCCACCAGCATCACTCCCTGGGCGAGGTGGCAAATGCAACATGCTCTCCAGCTTGGGGTGTCTACTTCTCTGTGGAAGTATTGCACTAGCCCTGGGAAATGCACAGAAATTGCCAAAAGGCAAGTAGCTCGACTGTTTTGTGCTTTAAAGATAATTTTTAAGACATAGTTTGTAAATGTTGATATAATATATGATTTTACCATATATGTTTTACCATATGGGGGAATAGAGTTATGCTGCAGAGTCAAAGTTCAAATGTGTGAAAGAGTTGCTTAAACTTTACTTTTTTTTTCCTCTGTTATTTATATTTCACTTGGAGCTCTTTATTGCAAAAGTGAAAACCTATTTCTTACTGGGTTTTACAGATGTTCACAGTAACTTGAATGGCATAGCTTTAAACTATATTATTTATTGAATCATACTGTATGATGGGTATTGTGTGTTAAAAGGAGATTTTGGTGTTTTTAATCCACCCTCCCCCCATCTCCCCGGGACTAAATGAGTACTAGTTTAAGGTTTTGAAGAAGCTAATTCTGAAACCTTGAGCCTTTAGTATAAACCTCACACATACCTGTTAACTTGGAGGTTGAGAGATTCTTGGCAGCAATACCAAAGTAGGGTCATGTGCTAGTTCGTAGACACCTCACTCCAGTGGAGTTTGGGAAAGAGTTTAATCTACTGGACAGGACACTCCCCCTTTTCCTGGCTAAATGGCTTTCATTTTAGTGTTGGTATTTTGTTTACAAATTTCTTTAAAAGAAAATTAAACCTTCTAAATTCAGATCTTCAACATAATCTCTTGATCCCATCAGCACCAAAACAAGAATATGCTTTTCTCTCTTTGAACACGTATGTGTTCAGGCTTTTCTGTTCCTTTGCAGAGGCATTTTCCAAGCCAACTCCAGGTCTATAAAGGCTTTTTATAGTCGCGAACTGCTGTAGTCAGCAGGATTATAAAAAATGGGCTGAAATTTGCCATATAGTTATGCCAGAAAATGTTGGAGGTAATGGACTTGTCAGAAATTGGGTGTGCACAGTCAGGAAGGGAGATTGGGTTGTCAGACTACCCCAAAAACCCTCCCTAGGTTCTCCCTTTGGAGGGTTTGCTACAGGATCATCTTGTACCAAATGAAACTGTTCTCTCCTTTGTGGGTTGAGTGAAACTTGAACCCAAAAAGTGAAGGCTGAAGAGTACGACTTGTTGATGTTTTGCAGATATGAAAAAGCAATAAAATAGCCTAAATAAACCTCTGATCAGATAATTATGTGGAAAAAACTAAAAATAAGCATATGCTGTTAGATCTATCTATCTATCAAGCATTTTCTTCCTGATCACAGTACAATTTCTTCAATAAGTCAAAAGCCATAATACTCAGAATTAATTGCTCCTGCTGCTCAGATATGGACATATATTTGAGATAAGTCAGGGGTTTTCTTAGACCTCCTGAGAAATAATGCCATAAGATGGTTGTATTTTACCTGTGTGTACTATGTGGGGATGATAGCCATAATTTTTGATAGCAAACTTCTACAAATTCCCAGAGCTTTAATTATCATGTTGCAACACTGTATATAAATCTCTTGACACAATTTGCCTTTATTCTGGTTTAAAAAAAAAAAAAAAAAAACAAAAACCAATTTTGGCCACAAAATTTTTCTTCTACTTCATATACTTTTCTGTAAAGTATTTTGATCTAAGTTTCTTGTATAATTTTAACAAATGCCCATAGTTTTGGTTGTTGGAAAAATATTTATCATCTCAAAATATTTATTTTATCAAATGGTAATTCCTCTTGTCTCTAATGTTTTTTATTCCTTATTGTAGAAACTATCATAGAAATTCCTTTTAGCTGAAGTTGCTTTTCTCAAAATATATTCCTGGAACAGGTATACTATCCTCAAAAGCGAGTTGGGGCAAATATCTGCTCCCCAGCAGTAATGTGGGGGAACATTCATGCTTTGCCTATTTTGGGAGTGTCACAGCAGATCTTAGAGTTTTTCAGGTTCTGAAAGTTTCTCAGTGAGGAAATCTGTGCAACTTTTTAAACCTCTGGTTTCCCACACTTATTTGACTAAAGGAAACTTTTTGTAGAGGAATGGCTATAAGATCTTGCTAGGGGCTTGTCTTCCATAGAACATATTTGGGGAAATACTAACTGAGAAGGAAGGGCTGAAAAAGTTTTTCTTCTTTCTTCCTACTTTAGAATTAAAAAGCATTTGTCATTGAAAGGAACTGGTGGGAAACCATGGGTGCTGTGGTGGTAGGTGAAGTATGGGGACAATATTCCTGAGAGAAGAAATCAAATACTGTCTGAAATGGAACAAGATGTAAGAAAGTAAAGTAATTCAAATAATTTTTACTTTATAATAAATCAATAAAATAAAAAATCTATACAAGAACTAATAGTCAGATAAAAACAAACTTAAAAAACTAACCCTTGATTGCTGACTACAGACCTGAAGCACCAGGTGGGGGGAGGGGGAGGGCTGAGCACAAAAAGGAAAGAAATCATAGTGGACTGTGATGGTGGACCATGGGTGATTTGATTGATGCTGAATGCACTAAGGTGGCAATGCCCGATGGAGATGTCCTAATATTAGCTAAAAAAAAAAAAAAAAAAAAAAAAAAAAAAAAAATAGAATAAAATAAAGAGATCACCAAGTGGGAAAAAAATTAAAAGAGGATGGATTTTGGAATTCTGGATTGGATATTGGTGACTACCCAGTCACTGGTTCCCAGATCTTTGTATTCATGGATCATATATCTCTTTCTTAATATCAAGGTTCCATTATAAGGGTATGCTTAAATTTTGCCATGTGAGGATGTTCAAAGGGGGAAAAAATTGCCATTGTTGATATATGCTAGCATTTTAATAGTTTAGATTTTAACATTTTACTAAGTGAGTTTATATAGATAGGTTCATTATTTTTATTTTCTCATTTTATCACAGACTGATGAAAACTTCATCATAGATCAATGTTTGGGAACCACTGATCTACCTTAACCACTTATTTTACAAATTAGAAATCCAAAGGTTTAGTAACTCTTCCACCTTTGTCAGAACCAGGATTGGATTATGGGCTTCTCACCTGAAGTTCTGTTCAATCCCTTTTCCTGAATTGTGAACAAATATTCTTAGCACCAATCTCAGCAGTAAAGTTTCATAGTGTATGTGTGAATGCTGCCCCTTTCTTGAATGAAATTGTTAAACATCATCTTAATCATCACATTTTCCCAGGAATTTACCCATTATATATATGTCTGTGTATGTATGTTGGCATATATATGTATATAGTTGGCTATTAAAGAACAAATTATTTCTAAAATAAGTAAGTTGGCACCTGTCTTCTGACTATTTGTATACCTGGTTACATACTCTAGTAAAGAAAGTAAGAATATTGGAGGAGCCTCCCTTTTCAAAAGCCTGAAGTTGTAGATGATTATTAGGGGCCCTTTTCTCTACATCTCTTAATCTGACTGTTCTTTAGCAAATCATTTACTTTTTCTAAAGCCTTAGTTTTATTGTCTTTCTAATGGAATAATGAGTACTCTCTCATTTACTTTTAGATTAAGTGAGATAAGATGAAAACTTTTGGTAAAGGGTCTGCCACATAATAGGTGTTTAGTAAATGTCTATTGGGTCTCAGAAAAGTGGATACTTTAAAAATATGCATGCCAAACAATGTGTGATCTTGTGTCCAAACCATCAGACAAACCTCCAGAGGGTAGCAAATAAGGTGGCATGCCCTGGGCAGAAAGGTGGCAAGCTCACTATTGTCAGCCTGCAAAACCGAACATTGCTCTTCTCCAAGGAAAACTGCACATTGGCATGAGAATCAGATTTTCCCTGGTGTTTGATTAAAAACCTCATTGAGCCTGCAAAAGAGAACTGCTTAAGCTTGTTTTTTAGGAGGAGAATTAGACCATAACACACCAGCCCTAGAGAAGAATTACCACATTGTTTTACACCTTTGAAAGCCCTAATGCTGGAGCTACCTCTCAGAATCTCTGCTCTTGGCACCCGATCACTTTTCTCTTTTTCCTGGCATACAGGCTAAAATAAAAACCACAGGGAACGATCTGTAGTGAAGGGAGCCAACAAAAGCTTATAATGGGACAGGAGGGGCTTGATGTGCCTCTCTGTAGAAGCTCCTCTGGAGGGAAGATTGTAATCAGCCAGAAGGCAGAGGCTACTATTTCTAGGCAACTTTATCAGCCCTCCTGAGGCATGTATGAGGAAAACCACAGAGGAACATCCAAGATACTAGTGTAATTAGATGGCCTAAGGGCATGAGGCTCTGGGCGTGATTCTTGGCATCCACAGAGAAAATAGGCAGCTGGTTCTTTGCCTCAGATTCTTACCTGATGGTGAAGAAAGTCTGACTCCAAGAACCAAAAACTCCATGGCAGATGATAATAGCAATAACTCTGATAGGTATTAATAACTTATTATCTAGATCACATTCTTTGAGCTCAACTTGCTTGTGGTACTGTAAGACTAAATATTTTTAAAATAGAAAATGTAAATAAAGCCTCACAATTCAGGTACTTTAGTACTCTAAGTTGCAGAGCACAAAACTATATCTCAGAGTGTCTAAGTGATTTGCCCAAAATCACACAATCAGTAAGTAACAAAAAACCATAAACGTGGCCCTCACTTGTGGCACAGTGGGTTAAAGCACAGCACTGAGAAGCTAAAGCCACTTCATGAGTTTGATCCCCGCCCGCCCCGGAGGTGACCACATGGCGTGGCAGACCTCTCCTGACCCGCCCTCTGCTCCCCTCAGCAGTGCACTTCATCAATCTGCCTGTTCTGCTCCCCACTCTGTTTCTGGTGAAGCCTCTCACCACCCCTACACCTCTGGCCTATACCCCAGTTCTATATGAATAAACAAATAAATCTTTAAAAGAAAAAAAACAAAAAAACATAAACTTGATTTCTATGAATTACCAGTTTCCTGTTCTGGACAAAGATATGCACATTTGTAAAAGCAACAAATTAGATTCCATGTATGTTCAGAGCTTGAGGCTGAGAGGACCTGGCTTGGACCTAGTCTTCAGGGAGCTGACCAGTTATTGGAGGAGGCAGAATGGATGGGGATAATGATAGTAAAGTGA